TCTTGAAGATAAGCAGTTTGTAGCGAAGCCATATCCGCAGTCAGTATGAGTTACTTAGGAAGGGTCAGGGCTTCGGAAGGGTCTGAGAGCAGAAGAAGGACATGAGCAAGGGCAAAGAGAAAGTGGGGTAAAGAGGCAAGTGAAAGGGGAGGAGGGGAAAGTGAGGGCAGCAACAGGGAGAGGGCAGGCAGCAGGTCGAAGGGAGAGAGAGAGGGAGAGAAGGGCAACGAAGCAGAAGGGAGAGGGTTCAGGAAGGGGAGGACGGAAGGAGGTTTCCGACAGAGGACTTGCAGGAGGAGGATGAAGGGCCTGGGGTGGTGGGGGCTCTGGTAGCGCAATGAGGGGAGTGGGAGGGGGCTGGGGCGGTGGGTGGTGCTGTTGCATAGGTTGGCTTTCGTGCATTTGATAAGTGACCACGTAACTGATGATGCATACAGTAGGAGGACATTTTCATGCAAGGGGGTCTTGGATTTCTTGCTATTTTGTTTGATTTTGTCCTCAACCTTCGTTTATGCTCGGTTATTTCTTGTCCCATTCGGGTTTTCTAATTGGAAACATGAAAGTGGTAACTTGAGTTCTTTTCGATTACCATGACGAGTCGAGTAGTAACTAACAAGTAGACTTGTAGTATCGCTATCGCATGTGTAGTACATATTGTGTACTCATGACTACATTCAACATTGTGTGACAACTTACAGGCATTCAACTTACATATTGTGTACTCATGACTACATTCAACTTCTTGTGTTCAATTTCCCCTAAAAATGATTTCTATGAGTGTGTCTGCTTTACTTTCGCATCGATTTTCTGCTCTTGTTGCCTGTTCCACACACTCACTCGTATCACACATCTACAGCATACCCACATTGTGAGGACCTATGATTGTATTGATAATTTTCTAGACTTTCGCTTCTTGCCCTATGAACCTCCAGTGAGTTTTCAGGCAACCAGATTACGGGAAGCATCCCTGCCAGTGTCAGTGCTCTCACTCAACTCACTTTCCTGTGAGTCGCACACAAGTGAGGTGGGCAAGAGGGGAATTGGCAAGCAATGCCGTGCCCTGGCTCAACGGGGTGATGTGCCGGGTCCTGCTCAACTCACCGAATGCTCGACATGCATACTACCATCATTCCAGGTATTGGACGCCTGAATAGGTGACCTACCCACACATCTGCTCCCCTTCCATGCTCACTGCTGCCTCTGTCACTCCTTGCGCCTCATCTCTCTGTCCTTCATCTCTGAGCTGCTTCGTTCGGGTATCTCTTCAAGAATCAGCTCTCTGAAATCGGTGCAATAACCAGACTTGCATTCTTGTAAGCCCATTCTTTCTGTGCTGCTTCTCGTACCTAATGCCATGAATTTGGCGGTGATTCCTCCTTTCTCCCTGCTTGTAATTCTTCACTTGTCTATTCGCCTCCCATAATCTGTCATCTCGCCCGCCCATTCCGTAATCTGTTCTGTGGCCCCTCCTGACTTTTGTATCCTTCTCCGGCTGTTCATGCCTTTTCAAAGCCATACCTTCTGAGCTACGAGCCATTTGCTACAGAAGCAAAGCCTTGCCACGCACCACCTTTGTCCACACACTTCAACTAACAGCCGAGCCGAGTGCCGTTGTAAACCGTTTGCCCTGAGTGAATAGAGGTCTGCACCCACCCAGGTGTGACTCTGGTCGCGCGCAACCAGTATGAGTGCACCTCCTCACTCCACTGACTGTCCCCTGCGTCTGGCTCTTCCCCTTGGCTCATGCCTCTTCCCAGGTCACTTAAGAACAATCAGATCAATGGCGTTATCCCCACTGGCATTTTCTCCCTCCCAAAATTGATATCCCTGTAAGGCCTTATGTGTTCCCTCTCTCCTCCACCTTCTTTGCTTGTTCTCCTCGCTTTTAATC